GTGTGTGGCCAGCTCAGCCCACCAGGGGGCGGGGCTGGCTGGCATGTGGTGCTGGGGGATTGAACCGCGGTCCCTGTGCTTTGCCAAGCTTGTTCTAAGTAGGTGCTTTAGACCACTGAGCCATCTCACCAGCCCGAAGGTAGCAGTCTTGTCAGCCTTGGTGAATGGAGCATGGCACAGAGAAAGCATAGCATGTAGAACCCAGGAAAGCAGACTTGGGGATCGGGGCTGTGAGGAGGGTGAGGCTTCTCTTGAGCTGGATCTCAGCTTAAGGCAGTGAGCCAGTTGTATTCAAGGGAACGTTGTATTCGAGGAAGCTTCAGAGTGAGGACTTGGCGCCTAGGGAAGGTTTAAACCTGCCCTCTACCCTGAACGAAGAGAACGGTAGAATTTTGGTTCTGATCTCCAGTGAGGAGCTGGATTTCTTCAGTGACGAGGAGCCTCTGGAGTGAAGGTCTTAGCTGGGGCCAAAGTGAGCTTCTCAGGAGGAACCTGGCCTGTGGGGTACAGAGGATGAGCTCAGAGGGGTGCATAGCTACTGCTGAGTAGTGAGGAAGAGCTTTGAGAGGAGGAGCTCTGTGGGCCAGAGCCAGAAATGCCACTGGTTCCAGAATAAATTGTAAACTATCGGAAGTTGAAACAGAAGGATTGCTACAAATTCAAGGCCTGAACTACTTATGACCCTGTCTCAAAAAGCTGGAAGAAAAAAAAAATACATTGTAAAAGAACTGTCCCAAGCCTCTGTGTTATGAGGAGATATAATTTATAAAGTTTGTCTAGAACAAAAACTTGGTGCTTTTGTACCTGCTTTGAGATAGAACTGGGTCACTGAGGGACCAGAGTAGCTGTCTCCTGGCCATCTCCACATAGGAAGGCTGGGCTTTGGCAGCATGAGTTGCTACAGAAACTGAGCTGCTACTGCCCAGTGCTGGAGGCTGACGGCCTGGGAGTGAAGTGTCTGCAGGGCTCCTTCTGAGGCCAAGTTGGCTGGTCGCACTGGTGGATTCAGGTAGCTCTTGGCTTGTGGACAACTTTCCTGTGTTTGCACATGGTCTCACCTGCATACATACCTACATCCAGATACTATCCTAAACGGACAGCAGCAGCTGTCCTCATTGCCATTCATTTGTAAATGAATACAGTTTTAGGGGCGATGCTGGTGACTTTGTCTTAACTCAATCATGTGCAAAGACCTTACTTTTTTTTTTTTTTTTTAATGGAACCGGGGATTGAACTCGGGCCCCTATGCTTGCCAGGGAAGCGCTTGTTCCACTGAGCCATCTCCCTGGCCCCAAAAAGACCTTATTTCTGAGTAAGATGACCTTCAGAAGCACTGAAGGTTAGGATGTTAGGCATCTTTTTGGAAGGACCACAGTTCAGTTGATAATAGCCCCCAACCCTTTAGTTTTTGTTAAGATGAGGTGTAAATTGGAGAAAGTGTAAAATGCAGAGACAGGCAGAACACATTGGTGTGTTTAATCCTGCGAGTGGGTTTGTGTCTGTCCTGCGCTGACATCAGATGGTGCATTGGTTTTTATGTTGGTGGGCGGTGTCTGACCTCCATCACTTCAGCGCTACGTTTTATAAACATTGAACCATGGATGCATGAAATTTGAAAGAAGGCAAAGAGTAAGACAACACGTGAGACGTGATGTTACAGTTTGTTAGACTGGTTTGCTGCTATAGTTGCTGAGGTAAAGACATTATTCACCTAGCTTTACAAACCAGCCCAGAGTGGGGGGAGATGGCTCAGTGGAATAAGTGCTTCTCTGGCAAGCGCAGGGGCCTGAGTTCAATCCCCGGTTCTGCCAAAACAAACAAAAAACAGCCCAGCAGTGACCTATTTTCATAGGGTGTCTGTTTGGGTGCTCTTGTCACTCACAGTGAGGGAGAGGGAGCCTGAGGGAGTTTAGGGGCTGAGGGGTGGGTCTGGCCTTCCCTGCTGAGCCTGGACGGATGCCCTGTATGCATGGTCTAGAGTTGGTGCTCTGAGGTCTGGGCAGATTTGTGTAGTTGCCCTGGTGATGAGGACAGTTGCTATTGCAGTGACTGCCAGCTGCTCTGTAGTAGCAGGGAACCAGCCTAACATTCTTGCCTCTGCCCTTTTCAACGAGGAAGGCAGGTTGTAGTATGCTGGGGAGTCGTGCTGAGAACTGTGTTACCTGCCATGAGGCATTTTTTTTTACTTTCCAGTAGTAATGTGTGCTATGTCAGTGATTGTTTGTGAACATTTCTTGACCTATAACATTAGGCCCACCACTTACTTACTGTTCAGGTTTCTTTTGTTTGTTTGTTTGTTTTGAGACCTCCGACTTACAGGAATATGAAAGAGATTCTAGATGCTGTAGCTGGGTTCCCAGCTGTTTTGTTGTTCTAGCATATTCAGGCAGGTGTGCTAGAGTGACCCTGTGTGTATTTCTGAATTACTTTGTAGAGGTTGTTTGGGCTCCTTGAAAAACAAACTTCTATATGTAGAGTAACCTCTTTCACCACTCTCAGGTGCATGTTGGCTATCCTGGGTCATGTGTGTATGTATGATGTTTTCATTTAACTATGGTTCATTACATATGTGTTACCCTTTTAGTTGAGTTGAAGTTGTAAATAGGGTATCAGATGAGGTAGGTAGCCTGGATATCCTACCTGAATGTGGGTGGTGTTTGTTGTCTACTTAGTGGCCTATGGGAAAGCATTAACTCAATTTCCTCTCCCTTGGAAAAAGTAAATACAGATAAAGATTTTGATATTCTGCATTCTTGTTTCTAGAAGATCCATTTGAAGACATTTTTGGGAACCGAAGGGGTCCCCGAGGAAGCAGAAGCCGTGGTACAGGCTCTTTTTTCTCCACTTTCAGTGGATTTCCATCCTTTGGAGGTGGATTTTCTTCGTTTGATACAGGTATGACATTTCTAGAGATAATCTTGATTGCCTGGACAAGTCAGTATAGTTAGAATATTCTGTCACAGCAGCTTTATGTATATTCCTTTTGGTACAGGAGCTGTGTAGATGAACTAGCATTTTTAGTGTGTACCAATCATTTCACCTTCCCTCTAATCTTTCCAAGAGCATTATGCTTAGAAAGTCTCTAAATAGTAAAGGACAACATTTAATGAAATTCTTGGTTAAAAAAGGTAATGTGTGTTTTGCTAAGTATAAGGTTACTCACTTGGACAGTCTCAATAAATCCTTCATATGTTCTAACCACCTTTGCAATTAAGCAGAAAATACAAGCAGTGTCATTGGAAGTGTCTGGCCCAGTGGCACTGGAAGGCTGGCTCACAGCCTGGGTATGCGGCTATAGCCAGACTGGCTTGAAGTGCAGGCAACTCCTAGTCTTAGTGTGCAGATGGCAACCAGTAGACCAGAGCCATTGCATGCCGTAGCACCTTGGTGTTGTGATGCAGAAGCCCACTGGGCCTGCCTGCTCTTAAGGTTCCCCTGGTTCTTATACAGAACTTGCGCAGGTGAACTGTTGACTAGATCAGACTGGGGTTTTCCCCCACACATGCATGCATTAGATAGCTAAGCACAGGTCAGGAGAGAATGCAAAGAAGCTAGCTGAAAATACCAGGAAAATGGTATTTCACATGGGATTTACATTTGGTTATGTAGTGTGGTAGGTGTCCGGGCCATAGTTCTATTGCCTGGCTCACTGGGTTTGTGCCATGTGGCCAATCCCAGTGGAAGTGGGCTAGTTGTTTCTTTCTTTCTTTCTTCTTCTTTTTTTTTGGCTGGCTCAGCCCACCCTGAGGGTGGGGCTGGCGAGGCATGTGCCAGGATTGAACCATGGTCCCCTGCACTTGCCTAAGCTCGCCTAAGCAGGCACTTAGAACACTGAGCTATGTTGCCAGCCCAAAACGGGCTGCCTATTGAAGTTTTACTGGGCTTCAAAATCTTTTAAAAATGGTAATATTTTGGATCGGTGGGGAACGGAGGGAAAGGGTGAAAATAGGAACTAAGATGCACAGTGCACATTCCTAACAGAGAGTGAAAACATTGTGTGCTTCAGATGTACTGACTAAAAAGAAAGGGTAGCTAGAATAAGTATGCTGTCATATACCACAAGAAAAGTAATACTTTGGACAGGGGAGGTTTAATAAATATATAACATTAAAGTTAATTCCAGGGCTGGTGCGATGGCTCAGTGGTCTAAAGCGCCTACTTAGAACAAACTTAGCAAACACAGGGACCGCGGTTCAATCCCCCAGCACCACATGCCAGCCAGCCCCGCCCCCTGGTGGGCTGAGCTGGCCACACACACACACACACATTAA